CGAGTTTGTGGGGCCCGGCAGGGGTGCGACCACGGCAGAGTGGATTTGAAATGGAACCAGGGTCTGGTCGGGTTCTGGGCTCCCGGCAGAGCACGGAGGCAGGAGCGTGGCTGGGGGGCGAGGTGCGGGGAACAGCGAAGGACCGGACCGTGGCGATTTGCTGGCGAGAGGGAACTTCGAAGTTGGGGTGGGGACCCGAGAGTAAGAGTTGAAGCCGGAGAACCCTGGGTGGATGTGCTGGGGGGACTGGAAGGGGGAGGCCACCAGGCAAAGCTGCATCCTTCGCCCTCCGCACTCCCCGTCGTCGTCGGTTGGAGCCCGACATTCTTGGCGACTTCAGCCTCCCGCCCCAGAGACGCGTTCAGCAGCTGACTCTCTTAAAGGAGTCGGTCTCAGGGTGAGATGGGGGAGCAGCCCTGGCCTGGAACACTCAGGACCGACGCAGGTGGTAGGGACCTGGGGCCTCTAGCAGGCCCCAGTCCCAGGAGACTGACCCCTACCGTGCCTGTTTTAGCCCTAGGGTTGAGGATCCAGCTAGAGGTAGTGCCCTCAGGGACTGGTTGCAGAGGGGCTACCATGAGCCTCAAGGGCCAGAGGCCTGTGGTTTTTCAGGCGTGATCCTCTTTTAGAACCTAGATGGGGAGTTTGTGCTTGAGGGAAACAAGAACATAAGACTCTGTGCTGGATGGAGCTTGCATGTATTTTTTTCAACACATGGCTCAGGAGACCATTTTATTGTCATTCAACTAAACCTGCAAATGCCAATGGGAACAAAGGGTTACCAAGATTAGTTTGACACCCCCAAATCAATCAGTATGATACCCCAGTTAGCAGAGAAAAAAAAAAGGTGAATTATAGGACTCTCTGGGTAGAATAGCAAAACCATTCATTCATGATTTAAACAAACAAACTCTTAGCAAGAAGCAGGAAAGAACTTCCTTTATTCAGTAAAGCTATGTACTTAAGAACAAATCACTAAGAAGCAGAAAATGGAAACTCTGCAACTATCATCACACTTAATGGTGAATTGTTTAATGCTTTTCCACTGAGATTGGAAGTGAGAAGGGATGCTGACACTCATCAGTATAATTCTGTATTGGAGATCCTAGCCAGTGTAATAAGGCAGGAAAAAAGAGTAAAGTTTGAAGATATGAAAAGAAGCCATAAAACTGTCATTCACATGTGACATGATTGGATATATAAAAAAAAAATTTTAAAACTGTAAGTAAGTTGATATGTTCAGTTAGTAAAGTCACTGAATACAAATTCAATATCAAAAACTAATTGTATTTCTTTATACCAGCAACAATTAGAAAATGAAATTTATAATAACATAAAAATCAAGTGCCTAAAAATAAACCTAGTGAATGATGAGTACAATTGCTATACGGAAACGAAAAACACCAGTGAAACAAATTGTTAAAGATATGAATCCAACAGGGGAATATACCATGTTTGGGGATTGGAATTTAAGATGTTTTCCCTCAAATTGATCTTAGCATTGATCATTTCATCTGCTGCAATCTCAATCAAAGTAACCAGAGGGGTTTGTTGTCTGATTGTCATTGTCATTGTCTCTTCCTCCTCCTTAGTTTCCTCCTTCTTCTCTTTCTTTGGTGAAACTTGACAAGTTGATGCTACAGTGTATATGAAGAACAACACTGTTGGAGGACTTACACAACATACCATAAAGAAGACAGAGTAGTATTGGTGCAAGGATAAACAAATCCACTAGTGGAACAAACCACAAAATGCAGGAGCAGATCCAGCCTGATTTATCAGGACGAAGATGATACTATAGAGCAGTGGAGAAAGTCCAGATTTTTCAATAAATGGTGGTGGATCAATTGAGTATGTATATTTGGGAAAAAAAACCCACTCCCATCCCTATACCATACTCTAAAACCAATTTGTATTAGTCAACTTTCTGTTACTGTAACAAATACCTGACATAATCAACTGGTAAAGAGAAAGGGTTTATTTTGGCTCTGTTTTGGGGGTTCTGGTCCATGACTGGTTGGCCCCATTGCTTTTGGGCTTGTGGGTGACGCAGCACACCATGGCAGAGAGTATGTGGAAGCTGCTAACCTCATGGCAGCCAGAAAGCAAAAAAAAAAAAAAAAAAAAAAAAAAAAAAAAAAAAAAAAAAAAAAAAAAAAAAAAAAAAAAAAAGAAAAAGAAAAAAAAAGTGAGAGACAGAAAGAACCGGAGGGGTCAGGTTTCCATCATCTCCACTATATCTTTTGAAGCCATGCACCCATGGCCTATGATCTTCCACGAGGCCCCACCTTTTAAAGCAGGGAGCTGTGCAATAAACCTTTAACACATGGGTCTATGGAGGACAATCTAGATCCAAACTACAGCCCAATCCTAGGTGAAACAACAGCTAGAAAAAGACCTGGAGGAGAGAATAAACTCATTTTCCTAAACAAGACGCAAGAAACACTATTAGTGACTAAACACTGAAAGTGACAGATTAGACTGCATTAAAATTTGAAACTTCTGTGTTAGGATTTGGATCTGAACCGTTCCTTAAAAGCTCATGTGTTGAAGACTTGGTTCCTCGGGCAGCAATGTCCAGAGGTGGGGCTTTGGAGAAGTGATTAGATCATGATGACTCTAACCGTATCAGTGGATCAATCCAATTGATGGATTCACAATTTGAATGGACTCCTGGGAGGAGGTGGAAGCTGAAGGCAGGTGGGGAATAGTTTGGAGAAAGTAGGAAGTAGGCATGCCCTTCCTACTTCCTACTTCCTGTAGACCAAGACTACATCTTGCCTGGGTCGCTCCCCTCCCCCCACCCCCCACTTCCCAGCTGCCATGGCCTGATGGCCTCTTTCCTGGCCCAGAGCAATGGAGCTGGCTGACCATGGACTGAGACTTCTGAAACCATGAGCCCAAATAAAATTTCCCTCTTCCAAAGTTGATTTTCTCACGCATTGTCACAGTGATGAGAAGTTGACTGGCGCATTCTGTTAATCAAAAGACATGACTTTCAGATGGAAGAGTAAGCCCCCTGTGTGAAAGAACGCAGGGTGGGGTGGGGGGACACAAGAGGAATCTCACTTTGTAATCCTCTCTCAGCAAGACTCACTCACTCCTGAGAGCAGTGGCCTAGAGAATGGGCCTAGAGAATGGCGTGAATTCCTCTGAATGACCCCCGCTCCTCCACCTCTCAGCACCTCCGTAGGCAATCAAGTTTCAGCGTGAGTTTTGGCAGCGACAGACCAAGTCCTGCCTTCCCTCTCCTCACCTTCTCAACCTTTGTCCTGAATCACCTCTCTCCTCCCTCTGTACCCTCCTTGGCTGCCCTCCACCCACACCAGCCCTCTCACTGGGGGGCCTAGGACAGCTACATTCAGGGGCTCCCCATGGCTAAATAGAAATTCCAGTGAAAACTATTCCTATGACAAAGACTTCATTTACACCCTGGCCCTGTGCCTACTCCTGCAGGGCATGGTCTCCCCAGGCCAGTCCTGTGGGCCAAGAGGGTAGAGTGGAAGCTAGGGGAGTGCTCAAGTTTCCTGGGTGTGGGCACACCTGGGATGGGCCTGGCCTGCACACCCCTTCCTCCCACCTCACTTTTCCAACTGTGGATTTTTTCAGACCATTCTAATCTCCCCAAATGGCACTCTGTCCTTGGTGATTGGGGACATCCAGTTTTTAGCAAGAGCATCATCTCTTTCTCTGGCTTCCCAGGCTGTCCAACACCACAACTCCTTCCCATGATTGGAGCCTGGATCCCAGTCTCTGAGCCAAGAGCTTCAAGGGCCCCCACTTGGTCCTTCACCATGCACCCCTCCACCAGATGCCCTCCACACCCCACA